AAATTTTCAATATTTTGAAATTTAAAATCAACGAGTATGTAATATTGGCGAATCAACGAGTTTATTATGCTTAGATTTTTGGTACTCATAGGAACCAACGAAAACTTGAAGTTGATTGTGTTGAGATATTTCTTTAGAATCAACAAGAATTCAAATGTGTTATAGGATCGCTCTTTCTGTATGTCATTAAATATCACTTTTGTCCTACGTCAATTGAACTAACAATTTGTTTAACACATATTTGAATGTTCAATCGGATACCTGAAGAGAAATATATGACAAAAATATTGGCGTCTATGTAGAGACATGACCATGTGCGATGCAAAGTTTTGGCTTTACTTATTTGATTGGAACTCTTTTAGAGTCCAATTTGAACGTGTTTCTTGACCTAATTTCATCTTCCATAAATAAAAAACATGGGCAGTCATTGATGAGATCTCTCTAACCTCACTAATACACTTTCACTTCATAAAATTCATCAATGAAAAGAGGTGAATTCAAATCTTTTGGAAGAGAAGATCAACCTAGCAAGAAATTGAAGGCCAATTACATCACGAACTTGAAGATTTCGAGCTTGGAATTGAAGATCAAGATATTTTGCTTTCATTCATGATCCAATTGACATCTATTCAATCTTCTTTTTGTTATTTATATAAAGTCATGCTAGGCTATATCTTTATTTGTATTGGATGAAGAGGAACTTTATTGCTTATATATTTTAAATCAATATAAGTAGTTTAACAATTCTTATTTTCTTCATTAATCTAGCATATTCGTTTTATTATTTAATTGCTTAACTATCATTTAAATAATTAGTTGTTTATTGTAATGCTGAAAATTCACAATTATGTGTAAAACGCTACAAGGTTAACACACGGGCAATAGATATTAGTAATAACAATATCACGTATGCAATCAATTAGATAATTGTGTAATTTATTGTGTTGTACTCATTTGAATTCAAACTAGAAATAGGATCCATGACTAAAATAGACTTAATTTATCTTGAAAAAATAAACATAATAGATTTATTGATTGTCAAAAATGTATGAACAAAAAATAAATTACATAATTGAAAATTGAAATAGATAGCAATAGGCGAATCCGAAAATTCAATACAATCATCCATTCATTTATACAAACAAATGCGTCTACATATTTCTTAGAATAATTTGGAATAAATAACAAGATCAACTCTTTTGTGTTACAAAATTAAGATTCACTGCAAAACTACTACACTTGAATTAAAATTTATTCTTCGTGAAATGATACTCTAACTCATCATATTTATTATTTGTCAACGATATCATACGCTTGCAAATTTCGTAATTAGTCTTTTATTTTATTTGTTTTGTGTTTATATGTAGAAATCCGATTTTAAACCCAAGCACGTGATTGTCATAGAAAATATATCAGCTCTTCCATCCCTAAAAACTTGACAAGTTGTTTCCTTGAAATACTTCCAAGTTTCTACCATTATGACTACACAATAAAGGCATGTTTGGTATACAATATTTAATCATACTAGACAACATAAAGAATATCATGAATTAGATCCTTAATGATTCCCAAAAAGTACTACAAAGAAAACCGTAGTATAGGACTGGAAAAGAGTGCCTACCTATATGTGTTATGGACAACAATGCTAACAAAGAATTTAAACATATAAAGGTGATCAAGAGGAGGGGTAAGATATCCTACTGCCACGAAACTCGAGTACCAACAACAAATTAAGCATTGTTCTAATAAATTTGAAGTCGGCTATTGAGAATAATCAATAAACAAGAAATGATTATCAGTAACAGTTTATTTACTACGTGAAGCCATATGCCTTCTTTTATTTCACTAAGCACACAACATTTATCAAGAACACATAAACATTCTCTCTCAGCATCCTACCTTACATTTGTACAAGGAAATTAATAACATGATGTCCAAATCATATGATTGCCTTTCATCAACGGGAAGCAGATTAAACTACATGTATAGGGATTTCAGAAAGAATACAGAAATTATATTGCAAAGACAAACCTCCAATTAAACAATATATCAAATATTAACATCTCATCTAAAAGTTTAAATAGAAGGGACTACATTTTATACTTAAATCTTGTACTCCACACACTTTCTCACTTACAAACCCGAATTCATTTGTCTTTTATCAAAGATCTAAAACGTGCACAATTTTCATAAATAAGTGGCAACAAGACATGCAGAAGTCATGTCGTTTGCTAAAAGCTTAACTTGTTTAGAAGGAATACATGAAATATCGTCTTCAACACAGCAAGGACTTCACATTAAATTAGGATTTCTTATTCAATATTGACACTACTTCAATGTTCTAATCCTACAAGAATTTTGTCTTTCTCATAAGAACTCCTCCAAGAAGCATGAATTATTTGCATCTCGTACCAGGCTTCTCAATTCATATTTAGAACTCCCCAACCATGCGCAATACAGATACACTAGCCTCTATAAACTAATCAAGTTCATCGACCAAATTATCATAATCATGTTAAACCACCTCGTCTAAAATTTAAGCAGCAAAAGATGAAACAAATTCATTAAAAAATTGCCTTCAAACTGCCCTCTTCTTGTGGATGAAAAGATAGTAGGAGATAAGATAATGTGTGTCCTTTACAATTGAAATTTCCTTATCTTTGTCCTTACTGAAGTACACAAACTTCTAATTTCAGGAAATTTTCCATATATTTCTGCTTCTTCTACTAAAGATACCACATCTAGCAAGCCTACATAAAAAGCAACTTTAATCTTACCATCCTAAGCGTAACTTAACCTAGTCGAGATTTAAGTATGTGCCCATTATTTTAACATCACATGCATATACTTGCATAAACATTGTATATATGTATATATACATGCATGTACATACATATAGGATGTGGCTCGACTTGACCTCCAACCATAGGTGCAAAAGAACAAAATTTACCATCGAGGACAATACAAAAGCTAAAAACTTCATACAATCTTGTCATACTCCTCATAATTATACACCGAGTGTAGCATATATCCAAAAGTGATCAAAGATGGAGAGATACTACACTCGGTTTATAATTATGAGTATGACAAGATTGTACATGCATATACGTATATATGTGTGTGTATATGTGTGTGTATTTCGGTTCACACCTTCTTATATAACTCTTTAAGGGTCACTTTCATGCATGTTAATTTCAGCTTCCCTGCACTCCAATCTTGAGGGTTTTGGGCTTGGCAAATCATAAATGAATATAGTGCTGCATAATATGTGTATAGTATATATGCATTTATTTTTTTGTATATGTGTAGAAAGAGAGATAGAGATGGATATTGCTTTAATTGTACGCTTCTGGGACAATAATGCCAATGCATGGAACACTTGGAGATGTGGACCTTATTCTTCTCAAAAGAAAAGTAAAAAAGTAGGAATAATCTAGAATAACTAGAATTAAATAATATGCTTTGAACACGATTTTATCCGGCAAGAGAACAGATAATGAGGAAAGAAAAGGGGGCTGCCAATTGAAAACTCAACAAATAAGAAATCAAAATACAATTGATTGCAGAAAAAGTCGTTGATAAGGTAGATTAAATAATATTAAAATGAAAGGTAAAGTATAATTTTTTGTATTGTATTGCTCAATAATCTTTTGTTCAAAATTGTTATGCGGCATTAAGAATGTCAAAGCAACATAAAAGTATACAAAATTCACACATGATCACACGTTGCACAAAAAGGCACATGAAGTATAGTCTATTGACATTTCCCTATACTTTTCGTCTTGGTACGTATTGAGTGTATTTGTCCCTGTTTGGTGAAAATTAAAGTTCAGATTTTAATCTAAGTCCATGTTTGGTTCTCATTCTTTTCTCATTAAAATGAAAAATATAATCGTTATCTATCACATCAGGCTACCAAATTTGAATTTCTATCTCTTGTGTGGGACCTGTAACGATTATATTTTTCATTATCATTCTTCCAAAAATGATAAACAAACGGGGTTTAAATAAAAGTTAATAATTAATTTTAACCACACATTTTATGAGATTCACAACTTTATAATCACACATTTCATCAATTTTTATCAAAATTTACTAAAAATTCTGTTTTAATTCCCACCAAACAGAGGTTGTAGTATTATATTTTACTTTTATTATTAAAAATTTCTATCTTCAGTGATTTTATGGAAGCTAAAAACACTTTGCACTATAATTTCTCTCCTTTCAAAAACATTAAAACATTTCCAAACAAACTCTTTATACGCAGAAAGAGTTTTTAAATTTAATCATAATTTTTTTTTTCATACATCAACAGCCTCTTTTATCTTAGCTTTTCATTTTATTTTTCTAATAATAATTTATTGTTTTTCCCTATTTTTAATTAATACACCATTTTTTTTTAAATGTCAATAGTTAAAATAATCAAATGTTACTTGAAAAATCTTATGAGTAGAAGAATAACAAAATTTTTCAATTTATTAGATGAGGTTAATTACACCAATGATCTTATTGAAGTTATTTCCTTACGGTAATAGCACAATTCAAATTTCCAACTGATATACTAATGGACACCCGATCCAAAAAATTTAACAGTAAATATTACATAGCACCATTAAGTACTAGCATGTCATCAAACGACATTATTTGTTACTATTTATAAATGTCATGTAAGATTTTATTTTTTAAATCACGTAACTATTTTAGTGTAATAGTTAAAATTTTCAGTGACTATTATCATAAAGAAATAACATCAATGACTATTAGTGTAATGAATCAAAACTTCAGTGACCAAAGACATACAATTAACCATATTAAATGCAATCATTAGAAAATACAAAATAGAAAGTTATTTGAAACACATTCTCTATTTTAAAAAATTATATTAAAGAGTTTATTGGAATTTAATTTAAAATTGACTATTTAGCATTTTACTTTTATAAGAGATGATCTTATTCAAAGCACGAGGAGAAATTCATTATAGATAAGATGAATAGCATTGATTAACAAAGACAAAATCATAGAATTAATTATAACAAAAACCAGCATCCCAATGCCTTCTTCGTACAACTTTTGCTCTTACTCTTTGCTTATGTAAATGTCACATTGAAATACTATTAACATTAACAATGTGACCATCCCAATGCATTTCTTATAGCATAAACTAAAATGGACATAATATGGTCAGAAAAGAGGAGAAGAAATCTCTCAGCCTCAAGTTCTTATGATCTTGGTGGTGGAAAGAATTGCGTACCCGCCATGAAAGCGCCAAGTGGAGTCGGGTAAATGGAAGGATCAAGTTTCGCGACACTAGTGGCGGAGGTGGCTGCTGTCCCTGTGAAAAGACCTGGCTGTTGAGAGGAGGTGCCTTCACCAGCACCAGGATAGCCGCTTTCGGAGCCTTGATCGTACAGAATTCCCTTGAAAACATGGCCTCCAATGTTGACAGCAGTCTGATAAGCAAATTGCTCGTCCGCATTAATTCCGCTCACTTTTACTCCGCGGAAAACCGCCGGAGAATTCACTTCAGCCGGGAAGTGTCCCACCTCAAATCCTAATCAGAAACCCAGATAAGCAAAAAAATTTCAAGGCAAAAGTGTTGTTTTTTCATAAAAAGAATGAAAAATCTTGAAATAGACAGCAATTTTCACTAACTCAAGAGACTTTTGCGTCAGGTTTACTCTGAAACAGTAGAAGTAGAAAAAGAAAGTAAAGCGAGTGGTTGGATAAACATGGAGATTGGACTTCATATTCACACGCAAATGATACATATAGATAGGTATATGTCAACAGACATACATACTTTCTCCACAGATAATTACAGTTTTTCTTGATTTTTTCTCTCTTTACTTCATTATTTACCGATTTTTCTGAATTCAAACCAAGACCAGATTATCTTTCAAACCCTATTTTTGTTTAATTTTGAGAAAGAGAATCACCTGACATGGTGGTAATAGGTAAACGATCTGTATTACTAGTGCAGGCAAGAGAGAATCCTCCACCACCTCCACTGCCACTGCCACTGCCACCACCACCATCACCTGGACTTTCTCTATGCCTTCTGGAATTTTCCCCTCTCACTGTCTCCTGCTGATGAAGTTGCAATTCGGCAAGCCGCTGCTGCCTCTCCCGCCTCCTAGAAGCCGGAACCCAAGTGCTCTTGACGTGGGTTTCGCAGTGAAAGCCGCGGCTCTTGCAGCAAGTCCGGCACCTAAGATGCACGCACTCTTTTTTTGCTTGGTTCCCGCAATCCTGGCAGTTTATACCGCCATCTCCGCCTCTGCTTGGCCTCATCACCCTAATCCCTGCTGATCTACAACTATGATCGCAATAATCATTAACATTTTGACGGTGATTTTGGTGTTGGAGTAGTTTTTGTTGATGAAAGTGATAATACTGTTGCCATAATTCAAGACCCTTGTTATAGATCTCCTCGTTCTTTAACAGAAACAGGCTATTATTGGTGGGTTCTTGTTCTTGATCCTTGCCACCTAGTGAGAAAAAACTAGACATTTTTCACCTGTAGAAGCTAGATGTAACGTCAATTTTGAGAGAAAATCCATAGTCCAAAAACCCTCAGCCTAGAGAGATGGTGTGGTGAGGGATGATTATCATGGGATGAGATGGAATATGGAAAGATTCAAGTTACCATGTGTTTGTGGGTGGGGAGTAGGAGAAGGGGGTTAATTTGTAAATGTGCAAATTGAATTGTAGTAGAATACTATTAATAGAGGACTAAAAGTATCTCTAATAAATTCTACGAATTATAATTCAATGGCGGAGTCACGGAGAGGAGAGGAGAGGAGAGGAGAGGAGAGGCGAGGCGAGGCGAGGCGTGGCATGGGGAGTGCACCATGCTACATTTTCAATATGTCGCAAACATTGAAATTTTCAATAGTGTTATTTACAATGGATCACTACGACAGTCGCCTTACATATAACATATACAAGGCAGATGATTATTTAATGCATGAGTCAATGAAAAACTACCATACTAATGCATCAAATAATCACATGTTATATATATGTCACGTAGAATGATTGCAACAGCGAGACTTGGTGACCAAGTCGAATGAGGTGGGATTGGTAAAAATACTTCTCAAATAACATTACATGAGTCCAGAGATGGAAGAAAAGATTTATATGATTAACGCTAAGAAAATGAAATTTATGCAGATGAAAGAATACACAACATCAATATAGTATTGTAGTTAGTAAAAGGGACTATTGACCAAAATTAATGAAATATAATATAGTGAATAAGGATCTAACTGTTTTAAATTTTAAATTTGAAGATCTATCAATGTTATATAAAAAAAATAAAAAAAAGGGACCAAAAAGATTTGTGTAAGCAAAAATAACATTTAGCCCATTTTTGGTTCAACTAAAAAAAATAAATAAAAATGTAAATTAAAGTCTACAATTAATTTTAATAATACATTTCATGGATCTTATAACTCATCAACCACAATATTACATCAACTTTTATCATAATCTACTAAAAATATGATTTTTATATAAACCAAATAGGAGCTTAACATGTTTGGCAAACCTTTTTGAAATTTATAAGCCAATCAAATGTAATTATAATTAAATATTAACTTTATAATCATTTTGAACCACAAATTCTATATGATCCATTCTTTTTATACTTTTTAATCATACATTCTTCCAAAAAAAAAAAAATTTATTTCTCACTTTGGTAAATCTCTTTCGAACAAGCTCTGGATGTCTTTGTTTTGATGTGTTAAAGTTAAGGCCCTGCAAGTGCCACCTCTCCTCTTCAACCTTAATTTTTCACATTTCACCATTTAATTGAGATCTATTTTTCCCATTTAATTGTCTCATGATGGTTTCTCCCACTAAATTTTTTATACTTAAGCACGTCACTTCTTATTTGCAAATGGGTAGATACTAACATTAAAATACCAAAGGGCAGATTTAGAGGTTCCCTATAAACCCGACAAAAAATTAGATTAATAGGAAAAAAAAAATAACTTCTTCGAATAACTTCGGTATTTATTTGCTACAATTTGATAGCAAAAAAAATCATTGACGGATAACTTCTTCAAACGTGTCGATAGTTCAAAAAACAATAGATCTTAACTCTTTCATTAGGGTCGCTTAATTTAACGAAGAGAAAGATCATTAAGATCGCTTAATTTAACGAAGAGAAAGATCATTAAGAACTCCTTATGCAACTTTTAAAATTGAAGATTTATTTGCTACAATTTGATAGCAATGATCGATGCAAATTTCAGAATTATTCGTTGGAGACTGATTGTAGAGCAGGAAACTTGCCACTTCTTCTATAGTTCTCTTCCTGTTTGCAATACAATCCTCATCTAGAAAGATTGAATCCCAGCCGTTGTATGGTGATCTAACAGCTGAAAGCTTTTCACGAGTCACTGTGTCAGCTTTTGCTTATTCGTCCTTGCACCGTAAAACACGGTTTACTTTTCTACCTAGCCATTCTCATAATTAAGGTCCTTCTTTTATTAATTTTTCAAAAGAACAAAAGCAATTAAACTAAACGAGTGAAAGATAACTTCACAGCCGAATTTTAAGCCTGTTTGGGAGGGATTTTTTACTCTAAAAAATTAATTTTTTGACCGTTATTTAACTATTTTAGCCGTAATTTTTGACTTCTTCTCTCACAAGTGGACCCTTCTTTTCTTCTAACGGTCAAAAAATCAATTCTCAAAATCCCTCCCAAACGGGGCCTTAGTGAGCCCCTCACTACAGACCAATTAATAGGCAAATAATGAGGGCTTTTTGGTATCAACTTATAAACCCGATCGGGCGCTCAACGGAGAAAGCTAAAGGGTAGAGGCCAGAAGGAAGAAGTTTAATCGAGATCTGTAGAAATCTTGAGAATTAAGGGAATATTTTTGTATTATTATGTAATTTATTATCTTTGATTAGGTACCTTATTTAGATTAGTATCTTTGATCGGGTACCTTATTTAGATTAGGTAAATTTCTCTTTTCCTTTTTAGAACCTCACCTTTTTTGGTTCCTTACTTGTATTATAAACTCAGATCATAAAATTGTAAATTAATGATCAGAAAGTACTACAATTAACTTGCATATTTCATTCCATTTTCTACATGGTATCGAAGCAACTTCCGTCCTGACCAAGCCACCCTAGCTAGGGGTGAACGCAATTCAGTTTGGGTGGTTTGTGCTATATATTCAATTTAAAACATTTTATATGATCAGAAATCAAATCATAATTTGCAGTTTTGTTCGATTTTAATCCGCGATTTACCTATCGACATTATAATAATATATTTAATATAAGTTAACATATAAATTTAAATGAGAACTAATAATATTAAATGTTAAATTACATTAATATTTACCGTGAAACCCAAGAATTAATTATTTTTAAAGTGTGTTGTTAAAAGATGTTAATAGAACAAATACATCTTTCTTCATTTTTATTTATCTTTTCTTGTTTGATATTCATATTGTCATATTGCGATTGGTAAGTTTAAAGTTACATTCTACTATTATAGTTTGATTAAAACTCATTTCGTCTTGCTAGTGAAATGTTAAATAAAGACAGAACATGATATACTTAGATATACAAAGATTGATAGATTTTCTACTTATTGGGAATTGACATTTCCATTCTTTAATTATTTTATTAAAGTAGAAGGCAGTAGTACTAGTTAGGAAATTTTAATATTTTCACATAATCAATACGATCCGTCCCTCGTTCTTTTCAAACCACAAACAAATTCATTAATTATCTAAGTACACAAACAGTTATTTTTCTATCCAAACCACAATTCGCAAGTGTATAATAAGTTCAAAAATAACAAATAAAAGAACGAACAACGAAAAAATGGCTTGAATAAAAGTCTAATACTTACCGAAAGAGAAGAGAAAAGGAGGCGATTCAAGTAGAAATTAACAGACTAACAGGTAAAGGCGACTGGTGATTCATTTAGCAAAGGGAGACAAGCGTTAAATGTTAGGGAAATTGAAGTTTATGTTAGGGCTTTTTAAACTTTGGATGTGATTTGCTGATATAATTTTGTTGACTTATGATTTGGATTGCTAACATATTTTTGAATAATTTTAGTTTAATTTAGATATCAGGTGAGGACGTGTTGTGAACTTGTTAAACCATAGGTCATTAATGATGAAACTAATTTACTTTCAATGATTATTTCAACATGCTGATTGTAATTTGTATTGTTAAATTGGTATTTTTTCTGAAAATTGAAAACTGTAGAATTTTTAAGTTAATAAAATTAATGTTTTAATTAAAAAATTTTAAAAC